CATTGTGTTAAGTTAGACCACGTAATTTAACAAAAAGATCAATCATTTAATGTCTCACTTCACACTGGCTCACTCCATTATTATTTAATACTGATTAGAATGGTCGACAATAGAATTTGCACCATTTACTACGTAATACAGCATATTTTTGGTTAGTTTATTTAATGATATAACCGATAATGTACACACGGCTTTGGGTGCCGATTGTCGTGCACAGAGTCTATAGACTCTGTGATTGTATAAATGAACAAAGAGAAAAGAGCAAGAATTTTCCCAAGCGTATGAAGTTGAGCTCCGGATTAAGTGGATAGGTAATAATTTTCTCTTCCCTGACTTACAAGATTGCCATAGCGATTCACTTCTAGACATGTAGGTAAATGATGACTAAAAATAAACGACCCAAGATTTTCTCTTGCCGACCAGTATATTATCGTAGTCTTAAAGAAATTAGAATAAAAATAAACTATGTTAAAATGTTCATGTATACTACTGAAATGAAGATAATATATTTAAGCTAAATGTAATCTATTACAGTTGTAGTAAAACGAGTAACTTTGAAAATCCAGATCCAACCCTAGATGCCACATTTTTTTGAAACGTCTACTTATGCGGTTTGAAATTTTGATGCAAAATCTGGCAATACCGCTCAGAAGAAATGTTCCCACCCATACCCACCCAACTTTTTTCTCTTTTTAATACATTTGATTTGCCATTAAGCTGCCTACATCACTGTCTTACACGTTAAAATCCTATACACAGAGTTGACCTGTCCCGATGTGTATAAAGATAAAGATCATTTTTAGAGATACCTATTTTTGTACCAAAAAATAATGATCATAAAATAAACAATTTAAAAAACTCTAAACTCTTCTAAATATAAAACTCTTCAACATTTCAAACTACACTTTTTCAAACATTTCCTTCAAATCCTTCAATTTAATATAGCTGTCAGTAAGTTTCACGTCAAATATGCGCACATAGTGCACACGCAATTTTCTTTTAATATTTTTGCAATATTATCATGTTGCCAGTTATTGGCACACCTACCTAGTAATAATTATTGGCATTGCTATTGGTTTTTCTATAGTTTTGACCAGGGTTGGCATGATTTAAATCAAATGATTTTTTTTAATTTTAATCATGTGATTTAAATCAAATAAATTATAATTTTATTGAAACTTTATAATAAATAAAAAAATAATTGTAAAAGTTATAAAATGTGTCCTAGAAAACTGTAAAAAATAATTCTATAACCGATAATAAATCGAATAATTGTAAACGTTATAAAACTATATAAAAATAACTATTCATCAATTTAATTGTTGGGCCGATTTTTGAACTAATTTGGTGTGAATTGATTAGACCGCTAAACGCAGGGATTTTAAAATTTATGTATAAGTGACAAAAATTCGCTGTTCGAATACATATCATTCGCAAAGTCTAATGCAGAAGCAGAACTAGGTTCTTCTTATATAGAGACTATATCTTCATTCCCAAGAATCTACAATCGTTGTCAGAAAATATGTTGTTTTATATTTTTTTTGGAACGGTTGTGTTTCCAAATTCCTTTGATCTCCAGTAAGTACTTTACACTTTGACATTAGATAATATATACTAATATTACTAATTTCATTCTCGACTTAAGACTATTTCCAAACTATAGTGTATTTTTTTATTAGGATTAAAAATTATACTTTTTTTGACGATGCTGTACCTTTGAAGGACTATCGTAAAGCTATTTTTACTCCGAATAGAACATACAAACATACTATTTTTTTAAACATTACAAATATTTTTTTAATCAATTTCAAACGTTGCAAATAATGTAAACAGTAATCGAACAACAATTTGTACACTCGTTAAATTGACACTTAATATCAGTTTATAATAATATATTTTTGTATACTTTTGTGCTTAGGCGTAACAGTGCTTTACTTTTATGCCTAGGCGTTAAAATGACAAAAATTAATACTTTGAGACGTTTGAAAAAAAAATCCTTTTAATCTGAAGCGTACGACATTTTTTGCGGAATATATTGGTGACCGATATAGAAAAATCACACGCCCCGTAGAATTGTTAATGTTATTGGTATCGGGGTATAGATTTAGCCATTTAGGAGAGGACTTTAATTGGAAATAAGTCCTAGTCATTTGGAAATCCTATTTAAATATTGTTTTGAATTAAAATCAAAAAATCTGATTTAAATCAAAAAAATCTGATTTAAATCAAAAAAATCTGATTTAAATAAAAAAAATCATGATTTTTTCCAACCCTGGTTTTGACAAATATTATTTTTTAGAGGCATACTTATTAAAACTGTGTTAAAACTATACCTAGGTATGTTTATTAATTAATGTAATAAATATAATACAGAATTCTGACAGTAAATATCATGACAGTACATTTTAAAATTTGGATTAGTCAAAATCAAAAACCAAAAATAAAGATTCAATTTTTTATTCAAAATCAAAAACCGAAAATAAAGATTCATAAGGATGATACACGGAACAAAAAAATATTTAAAAACATTTCTTCGTTTTAAGTAAGTAACAAGGTACACCCTCTAATACAATTCTGATATTTTAAAACCACTTTCTTTTTATTAATTTTACTCCCAGAAATAAAATAAATGCCTTTTTCGACATGTATGTTTTTTGAAACGGGATTTTGTGGTGTGACCTGTATTAATAGACGCGACTCTTGGCTTTGGACGTGAAAAAGTTTCTTTAATTTAGAGGTTGTCTATTAATATCAACAATAGCAATTTTCTTCAACCCATCAACGGTTAGCACCCAAAAATACATAAAATAAAAACCAACTTTCTTTTTTGTGCCTAGTTATATCATTGTTAGGGTGCCGATCATTGAAATTAATATTTTAATACTAAAAATTGCCACTCGAATTATATAAGTGCTTTCGACTGATATATAAATAAATGCCAAATTCGGAGGGTGTTATGTCTGACAAGCACCAAAAGGATGTTTTATTGACCAAAAATCATGCATAATAAAATAACAAATTTATAAAATATGGCTCATGTAAGGTACACCAGAAATAGGGAAGCAAATTATCAATATAACACGTAATATTACAATAGGTATTCCAATATGTATTTTTATGTAGTTACCTAGTTAAAAATAAAAAAATATTTACTTATTGTATTAAATTACTTTATATGGCTTTGATGTTTTTGATTCGCATACGGTCATATTCGATTTGATATATAATATAATGACTAGTTGAAGCCTAGCGCATCCGCCACGACATGTCGTGGCGGATTACTACTCTGATTCAGAAGAATCATTGCTGACAGAACCTTCCAAATTTATAGTATCCAAATCACAGGTAGATGAAATATCCTAACATATAAGATATTTCTGTACATCATTTTCTAATATGCTACTTTTTCGCGTTGTTACTGTTCTTTTTGTTGGTATGAGGGGTTCGGATGTTAATAGTTACCTCTTTAATAGACCATATCCATATATTATTTTTTCGTTTTCTTGGGTATGAGGTTTTATAATAAATTGAAAGATGGAAACATTTTTTATGCCACATTTCGCTCCAACATAGTGGGCTCAGGCACAAGTGGTTATCAAATTGTACTGGAAAGTTCATCAATATCTAATAAAGAATACATTTTTTGAAATATAAATAATTTTGAGTTCTTGTCCTTATGATTAAGCCAAGTATTAACCAGATCGGCATTGCTTATCAATTTTACTCCATCTGAAAAGTATTAAAAAATAAAGTTCGTCGCAAGCGGACGCAGGTGAACTATACAAAAATTAAAAGTGTATGAATATGGCAACAAAAATATTCAATAAATACGATATGCTTTGATATGTTTTTTTTAATGACTTTTTGAAGTTTGAAAACGTAAAATTCTAATACCCATTTAAGAATCATCTTAAAAAATAAATAAAAACTAAACAATCACGAACTTGTTTAGAAATAAATTTAAAGTACCTACATACCTTGTTTAACAATATCCATAGTGGCTTTCAATTAAGTACGTACCGTTTAACTCCATATACAGAACTACTATGAATGTTATTCTTTTCACTGATATAAGATAATGATCGCAAAATTTATTTTTAGTGAAAATATTTGCTAACAAAAAACGCTGTTTATGAAAAATAATATACAGGATGGTTGAACATTGCTATAAGTATAAAATTACATATTCAGATATTAGTAAATTTTAACTTTTTTTTCGATTTTTGTCCATGGGACGAAGCACTGTGCGACATCAGGAAAGAATCCTTTTTATTTTTATTTTTTGATTAAATGAAAAACAAAAACTCCGGCGACGACAGTTTTTAGAAGAGCCAATTACCTATCTTTTAGTAAAAAAAGCAACTTTCTAGAGCAAGTCGTTACTTCAGTAGAGACGACACAGATAAACATTAAAATTTTATATATTATGTAGATTATTATGCTAACCGTATATAGGTGCTTTATAAAAAACTTCCAAGAGAGAAAAAAATCTATAAAATATCCAATGCAGTCTAGAGAGTAATAAATTTTATCAATTCAATTTTATGTAGATATTTTTACATAGCGTCTTAACTAAAATACTCGATATCATCAAGAAACAAAAAAAAAATTCGCTAAACACCTTCCGCCCCGAAAAGGAAAACGGAATTGAATAAAAGAGAATAAAAATCAATCTGCACACAAAAATCTACAACCCTGTTATATACCTAATATGTTACCTATAATGTATCAAATCGAATATGACCGTATGTAAAAAGGACGCTCATACCTACATGAAGAAAATTTTCAAGTAGTAAATTAGTCCCATTTATTCTGTGAATAAATAATCAACTGAACTAAAAAACACATAAAAATATGACGCGTGGATTCAAACAAGTCACGTTGATAGACGCCATTAGCAACGCCGATGAAAAACAACGAAAATAATACAAGACTTTCTATAATTTCTTTATAAACGCACACCCACAGTACACTAAATTGAAAATATATTTTTTACTCACCAAATTCTGCTTGTACACCAACAAAACACCTTAAAATTAACATAACAAAACAGAAGATTAAAACCACCACAAATCGCTGGAAGACAAATAGAAAAAAGAATTGCATATAAAAGTTTGGAAGTTTGGAGCAGGGAGCAGGCCGACATGACGTCGATGACGCTACGTAAGTTCGGCAGTGTGATTGGTTCAACATTCCCCGTCTCATACGCGTGGCGCGGCGTCACAGCTGGTTTTTTGAAGCGACTCGCACAGTTGCCAGTTCTAAGAAATTTTCCATAGACCTAAGGAAAAAGATTTTCCTTTCATTTTTATGAAAAATCTAGAGATAATTGATAAGATCTACCTTTCACTCTCTCATTTTATTTTTATTTCTAATTCTTTAGTCTCATTTATTATCTTTTCGAAAGTAATGAAATAATTACTTGGGAGAGACTAAATACCATACCGTCTATTTATGAAGGCAAGTAAAAAACAAGGTCGATTTTTATATAAAATTTTTGATGTCAGGTTTCCTTACAACCACTAAGAAATACAACAAATAGAATATTTTAAATTTCAACAGACTTTTTAACTGAAAACATTTAACTCTGAAAGAACAATATATTATATGCCGGGTGTTTTTCCAAAAGTGGATCACCCATAAATAACTTCATTTTTTCAGATTAAAAAACGAAATTTGGTATATTAGTAAATGGCATAAATCGGAATTGATGTGAGGCATAAATAGTGGATTGATTGTAAAGTATTCAATTATATCGGTCACTTCCTGTTTCGCCGGAAATGACTACACATTTAGATTTTTAAATGGTACCCTTGGTAATTACAAAAATTGGTCAAGTGCGAATCGGACTCGCGCACGAAGGGTTCCGTACCATTCTTTATCTATACAACATTAGGCACTATATTATTTTAAACTTTTTTTTCCGATTTAGCTGAAATTTTGAATGCGCGTATAAGTAATTTAAAAAAAAATGAAGAAACACATTACTAAAATTATTAAGTTTAAAAAATACCTCCTTACAGAGAACAACTGATAACTGTCAAATCGAGTAGTTTCTTTTATATATTACCGTATCACAAGATATAAAAAAAATAATTTCATTTCAGGCGGTACGAAGTCAAATAAAAAACACAACGTTTAGAAATAAAGATTAATAAAATACACGACCAATAAACCTATATTCATAATAATAATAAAGGTCTGTATTTGTACAACTGTGACACAATAATTATAGAAGAGAAAAAAAGTAAAAAAATGTACGTTTTGGAATGCAAGGTCCATAGAGAACATCGCAAAAAGTTAAATGTAACAATACCAGTGCCTCATATTTTTTATAAATTTGCACGAAATTTGACTTAAATAATCCATTTGAGTCTTGAAACGACTTTCGACCGGTAGGTAACTCTCAATTTACCAATTGGGAGTCAGTGGCGTTGTTGTAGAAAGGCGCTTATTTATATATTTTAGTAAAATGTAAAATCTGAATTTTTTCTATTACATAATCATTTATATAAAAGTTTTTGTAACAAAATCATAATTATAACCCTGTTATTATACAAGATAAATTATATTAGGCATCGCTTAAAAAATGAATCATGTTTTTATTAAAAATATATTCCGGTTCATTCTAAAACTATCTTCAGAATCTAAAATAACATACAACAATTCTAAAATGATATTACATTATGAAACATTATTTTTTAATATACCGGGTGCGTCTCAAAAGTGGCTCACCCCTATGACTTTATATTTTCAGATAAAAAATCAGATTTGTATGTTATTAGTATATGACATAAATTAAGTTTTAACCAAGGAGCCTTGGAAAAATTGTTTGGATCGTCTAATGTTTTTCGTGTCTTGTCTAGGCCGGTTAAAAGATGTACAAATCGTATTTTTAATCATATGTCAATTTTTTCAAATGGAACAAGGGTGACTCATTAGCATATTTCGAAAAAGCATTTTTTTATGAATATATTGATACTTGGTATTTCGAGTCCAATTGTCGTTATGAACCGCGTGTTACAATTTCAATTAAACCATATGAGAAAATGTCAAAAGTTGACATATGATATGTCATTCTATTCAGAGTGTCATTTTCTATGGAATAAAGTAGAGATATACCTAGGGTGCCATTTAAAAATCAGAAGTTAGTCATTTCCGGTGAAACAGGAAGTGACCAAAAACAATTGAATGGGAATGAACCTAACCTAACCTAACCATACCAAATCTTGTTTTTTTATTTGAAAAAATAAAAAAATTATGGGGACTAAATATTTTATGGAAATAAAAAACTTTTGGGACGCAGCCGGTATAATAAAGACAGTAGCGAGTTAAATAAATGTAGTCTTCATTTTATCCAATTCCTAAAAGCTTGCTTTAATGGAACAGATTTCTATTTTCTCTAATTTACATAATAAGACATCACTTACCAGAAAAAAAAAATTACAACAATCATGAAGTTTTTTCTCTTTCCATGTCACCGATTGTATTATATCTATAGAATAGATCCTGTTTTTATTTTTAGATGTTTGATTAAAATTAATAATTCATTATTAATTTCAAAAATTAAACGAACAATTTACAGTGAAAGCTCTCCTTGCGGACAACTCCAATAAGCGGACATCTCCCTTAATTGGCAAAGTTTCCTGGAACCGAATTTCAGCATATGATTTTCAATGTTAAATGCTATCGGAACGGATCGGAATGGATCGGAACGGATCGCAATGGAACGGAAATTTTAAAAAGTATATAATTAAGTTAGAGGCCGCACACTACCGCGGACCGGAGCCGCGAGGAATGGATCGGAACGGAAAAGAATCGCTGGGATTGCTTGCCGAGCGAATTTTTTCCGTGGTTCCACAAACCACTCAGGTTTTCAATAGAATGTTTACAAAATACGCACGATGCACAAGAATTTTAGACAGGTTAGAGCAAGTTATTCATTATATTATCACGCAGTTCTGTGTTTGTGGATACGATGGATGAAGAACAATCGATTAATTTTATTCGTGGTTATCCACATCTTTATTTATTGAGTGATAAAAATTATCATAATCAACAAATGAGAGAAAATGCATGAGATGAAATTCTAAAGTATCCATCGCAAAAAAACAACACACACTAAAACTTAAACCAAGCCAGTCTAGTCGTAAATTACTCAAATATGTACAAATAATTTTTTCCGAAGAAGTCCGCGCTAATGTGCGGTGATTCAAAATTTCCATTCCGTTCCGATCCGATACGTTCCGATCCATTCCGTTCCGCGATAATGTGCGTCCTGCTTTAAACGGACGCGGACACTAGATTATTCCGGTATGCGACTAAAAATCTCCTATACACGGAAAAAAATCATTTCTATATTCAAGAACAATCATACACTTAAAATTTTACACTTTCTTTAAGGATAGTATTCTTTCCATGAGTACAACAAATATTTGGAATTATTTTACTGTTACACTTGCTTTTTAAATATAGTTATAGTCACTTTAAGTAATTTTGAATCTAAAAAAAAAGAATAAAATGACTTATATTTAAGAAAAACGTATATTACTATCATGTGAATAAATCCTTTAGCAACGAAGAAACTATTATTAAATGAGGTATAAATGCTTTTATATAATAATAAGTAGGTATTCTTAACTTTTTTAAAACTTTTACTTGAAATCGGTGTATTAAGACTTTAAATAAGTATATTATTCTCGGCGCGAGAATAACACCCCATTTCCAAGAGTTACTATTCTTATATTAAGTGACCATCCCCAACAGCAACAACGCAACAGTGCATTCCTGAGTACTTTTATATAATTTTTTTTGTTATCGTTTGTGCTTGTGGGATATGTTAAAATGGAGGACCCTTCAGGCATGGGAGATGACGGATTTGATCCCAAAATTTCAAGGTAATTTTAGCAATAATCCTACATTATTTGATGACATTGGTTTGAGGTTAGGGGGACTCCATTTTAATGTGCATTATTTCTTATACATTGGTGGTAAACTAGGTATGTACGCGTTTGGAATGATTCAATTATATTTTAACAATTTTTATTATCCTTTCTCGTTTACAATTAGCGATGCCGCTGTTCAATATCTACCTACATTGGGAACCCTACCTTATTACGAAAATCATATAATTTGGTAGGTGATGTTTGGCTAATCTAATTTAAAAAGTATTAACCATATTCGGGGTTATTCTGGTGATATTTCAATATTCCATACCTACTGGAAATGGAAATTAAAATTTTTAGCATGTCCCAACTCTATTATATTCATGTATGTTACCGGGCAAACCCGATTTTAGGATAAACTAGTTTTTCTTAGGACGAATATTAACCGGGATCGAAAAACTATATAGTTCTCACAAAATTCGGTAACGTGTTCCCTATGCTTTCGGAGGTTCGGTTTCGATCTTGCTAGAAACTCTTGTTTTGGTAAAATCTTTTCTTAATTTCCATTTACAATAGGTATGGAATTTTGAAATATCACCAGAATAACCCCGAATATGGTTAATACTTCTTAAATTAGATTAGCCAAACATCACCTACCAAATTATATGCTTTTCGTAATAAGAAAATACAATAAAACTGTGTAATTTCCCAATATAGGTAGATATTGGACAGCGGCATCGCTAATTAAAAACGAGAGACAGTAATAAAAATTGTTAAAACGTAATTGAATCATTCCAAACGCGTACATACCTAGTTCACAACCTAGTTTACCACCAGTGTATAAGAAATAATGCATATTAAAATGGAGTCCTCCTAACCTCCAACCAATGTCATCAAATAATGAAGGATTATTGCTAAACTTACCTTGAAATTTTGGGATCAAATCGTCATCTCCCATGCCTGAAGAAGGTCCTCCATTTTCACATATCACAAGCACAAACGATAACAAAAAAACTTTATAATTTTATAAACTACCTAGTCTAGTAACTAACCTAAAATTAAGAAGAGGCTTTATTTTATAGTAGGTGATATTACACTTGAATAAAGTAATTATTATATGTACACAAAGAATTTCTATACTTAATGCAATAATTTGCTAATTTACAAATAAGTATAAGTAGTACTCGAAACAAGATTTTATCTCGAATTGTCTGGAGTGT